GGCAGCTCTTTGAACTTGTAAACCCGCACTGGTTAGCAGTGCATCGCTGTTTGAGCACGAGTCTAAACGCAGCAGAATCTGAACAAACTCTGCCTCCGCTTTCCCATGTTTTCGTGCGCTCATCGGTGGATATTTATGCTCCAAGCCTGCAGTGAGTGCGCTCGTCATTTTTCAGCTGTCTCCAATTGGCAGATCCATGAAAAATTTGGTGTGCTCCCACTCAATTCCAAAATGTAACTAACAGGCTGCTGGGTCGTTTTCTCTCAACATTAATCCATCATTATCACCTGAAGTGCATTACTTTGAAGACTGAAGAAGGTCCATATTTCAATTTAAATGATGCCTAACAGGTATAAGCTTGACGTTTTCAGTTCCCACTAAGGCTTAAAGAGCTGACAACATTTGATTTTGCTGAGAATATATCTTTTTCCTCCTCAAGGATTTCTATACAAAGACCCAACAGTAGGCATGCCTTTATGCTAACCAGAGACAAGTCTTGTTAGTTATTCAGAAATGCCTCCATTGAGGAGGGCTTTAAATTATCGTTGTGTTAGAAAGAAGGGTTTTTTTCTCCTTTTTCCCGTTTTCTGTTAATTCATCGTGCTGTTTGTCGCTTTGTGGGTCTTTTCTTTCTGCTTGTAGTCAAAACCTTTGTGATCTTGGAAAAGAAGGATGATTTTGGTAGGTACCAGCTTTGTTTGGGAAGAAAATGCAGGAATCTGGTTTTGCAGCAGCTTCGGCCTGGGTCTGTCATCCAGCAGAGGTAAAGGGAGGCAGAAACCCCTTTTGGGTGAAAAGGCAGAAATGACCTCTGTGGAAATCCTTTTGGAGGTGTAACATGGGCTCTTCAGACTTGTGGTGGACCAAGGCCTACTCTGTATGGAGAGCAGGACTGCGCACAAGCAGAAGGATAGGGGTGTCGCTGCTACCCCATACCTAGAAGGAGTTTGGACGGGGATGCCACCGTACCAGAACACACTCAGTCCTCCCTTGCCTTTCCCCTGAGGCTCACGTGCACACAAACGCATGCCAGGCGTAATACAGTTGCCAAAGGTTGGGAATGTCAGGTTCAGTCAGGTCTCAAGAACCCACAGATGTTTCAAATCAAAATGTTACCTCAATAGGAATAATGAGGTGTTTGAGAGAATATTTTGGTCTGTGCCATTTGAATGGGGAAAAATTATCTTTCCTCTGCTTCGGGCATCCTCTTCATCCGAGCACCTTCAGCTCAAGCCCCTGTCCGTAAGTTATCTGGAGGAGAAAGCTGGTGGTTTCTCTCATGGGCAACGATGGCTATAATTTACTACCTTAACCATGTCCAGATACACAGCAAGGTATTCTGAGTGGTCTGCTTCCAGTGCTTCAGGGTCATGGTACGTGCTCCACAGCACCGGGCAGCAAGTGCAGAGCTGCCCGCGGTAGGAGGAAATGTGAGGAAATGAACTCTCAGATGCACTTCATTTCACTTTGGGCCCAGCAAAAGCATGTCCGGCAGCAACCAGATGGACCCCAGTCTGGATCTGTCACGTAGGGAACGTGGTAGCTGCTTTCAGAGAGAGGAAGGAGCTGCTGCTGCTGTTAGAGCCCTGCTGCCTTAAAGGTCATGGGAGAAGATGGAAAGCATTCTGACACAGCTTCCTGGGAGAGCCCTTGGAGCCTGGGCCACAGCTCTTGCTGGATGTAATTCACTCTCTTTAGCTCTGAGGTTTGTCCTCCTCAGCCCACCATTCCTTAGAGAGTCCATCTCATGCTGAGCACTTTTGCATAATGAATTATTAACCACACAGCACTCACAAAAGTGCTTTGAAAGAATTTCCTTTTGTTTATTTTATGGGGGAAACACACAGCCCCCACCCTCCCCCTTTCCCCCTCAATTATAGTGTTTCCTTTACTAAAATATTTTGCATGAGATTGTTGTTTTATGGGAAATTACACAGCTCATTAACTTCTGGAATAATTGGTATCCAGCGGTGTGAGCAAATCGCAAGCTATAAATAAAAGGAATCTTAGGGTACAAAATCCTCCCTGAACCTGCCTCCCAAAACATTCAGGTTTCGGATGCATCTTGCCAGCTCAGCAAAACCTAATTTGCCTCCTTTGCTTGAAGTGGTTACCCATCAGAATGACCTATTCCTATGGGTAGCAGAATATGAAATGGTTTTAAGCAGACTGTGTTAATATGCTGTGGACATACTGACCTTTTAGAGATTATTCTCAAAAGGGACTAAGAAAGACCCACACGACAGCATCATTTTTAAATACAAAGGCTGAGAAGAAACAGGTAATTGAGCAAGAACCTGGAGCTTTATACAACCCTTTTGGAAGCTTAAAGAGACTGCTTCTATGGATATTTTGATGTCTTCCACAAGCTGTAAAACATCACTAATCTTATTCTTTTTTTTTTTCAGCCCATCTAGGTTTATACTGCATTCCTCAGTGTGGTACCTTACCCTTACTATCTCAAAATACCGCATCTGTTCAGGTATATCATCATCAGGTGATAGGTGGCCTATAGACATTAGAATCAGTGAGATGAACTTGCAGCTACATACAAAACAGTCTGATCACTGTGAGGTAGCATGGATTTATTTCCATTGCCTGTGCTGGGGGTGCACATGAGCGAGAAAGCTGACAATAAATACTTAAGACCATTTAAATAGAAACGGAGGCAGGTAAATTTATATACATAGGGGGAGACACAAGTCTGGACACAGCTAGATGATGTCCTTCAAAACCCACACCCCAGGCTCTTGCACGTTGCCCGTTTCTGTCCATCATTCACAGCGGAGCAAAACGAAGGACTGTGAATTATGGTGATGTCTAAACCAGCAGGCAGATGCAATCTACAGCAGTGCTGGGCGGGGAGCAGCATCTCTGACGGGGCTTGCATTGTGCTTGTATGCTCTGATACAAAGAATATGGGAAAGTCTCTACTCCTTGGCCATATGATAAACATCATGCTCAGTATGGAGGTTCAAGATTTGGATCTGTCGTTGAAACCTCTGAAACAACACATACGTGACCAGATCTGAACCATCTGAGCTGTTAGAAATACAGCTGTCCTGTAAAGGCCACTAACAGAGCCGGTGAGAGCAGCGTTTGCAGGCTCTCCAGAGGAAAAAGGTCGCGCTGAGCCACAGTGGTTTTCAGTACTCCGTTCCCTTTGGTGGCGTTGTTAGACATGGAGAATATTTAAACAGGGTTTATGGCAACTGGCACATCAGCTGCCTTGAAATGATACGTATAACAAGGGAACTGAGGAAAAGCCTAAAAATCTAATCCCTAATCTAAAGCATCTGACATGTTTTCTGGACGGTAGTTTGCTATTTCCCAGATGTACGCTCACAGAGCTGGCTATGCAAACCAGAGCCACCCATCACACTGAAATGAGTTTAATTAGGAAAGTTTGGCTTTTCGAGTCAAGCTTTGCTTTCAGATATTCCTGATTTCACACGCCTCAGCCTCTCCTTTTAAATGACCTTCTGCTGCACACCCATCATGCTAAAGCTTTTGGGACTGGGAATGCTGAAGAATACGAATGCGATTCCTAAAGATGGAGATGAAAACCTTCAACCCCCTTATGTTTCTAAAGGAATGCATTCCTTAATTGTTGAAAAGCTTTGAATTTGCATGTCTATTAAAACAGCTAGCATTAGTGAGTATGAACGTGGAGGTGTCTGAGTTGTCAGGTCCCAGGGACACCTCACAGCTACCACCACCCCAGTCCAGAGTGCAGCTTAGGCTGTTTCTGTAAGCCTTAGTATCTCCACGAAGCCATGCCTGTGCTGCTAAGAGGTTTGGGGTCACACTCCTGCCCCATGGGAACATGATGCTACCAACTCGGGTCCCCATGGCTCCGTGGTGGGGCTGATGGGGGGGACACCAGCCAGAGCCCCCCAAGCAGCCAGAGGAAAGCCAACAGCGCAGGGCTTGGTCCATAGCCCCTTTCTCCACACAAAACAGGCACCCTCAGGCATGTCCTTACCAAGCAAGACACAGAGCAGGGCTCGTGCTTTGCTCCTATGTGGGAAAACATCTGTGTGTGTTAGGAAGCTTCGCTGCAGCCCAAAGGCTATCCATGGTTTTAACATTGGAAGCGGCATCTTGCTGGCTCACTAAATACGTGGGTAGAAAAACTAGATAGTTCCAGGCTGATCACTTTAAGCTTGCCAGTTGCACAGTTTTTATTGATACAACACAGATTTAGCTGCAGCCATGCTCATCTGAGACCTTTAAAGGATTTGATTCATCCCCATAAAACCTTGAAGGCTGTTGTGTGAGGCTGAAATCTGTATTCCTGTGACAGAAAAGTGCCTTAATGGTACCTTCCTCCTGTAAAGAAATGATAAATGCGTTAATAAATCCTTTAAACAAATGATAGATCACCAATACTCGCTTTTAAAACAGCTGTATCACTTCCATATCCACTCATTTTGAATTGAAGGTGCTGCCATGGCAGGGCCACCCAGAGCAGGGCACACAGGAACGTGTCCAGGCGGGTTTGGGATGGCTCCAGAGAGGGAGACTCCACAACCCCGCCCTGGGCAGCCTGTGCCAGTGCTCTGCCACCCTCACGTAAAGAAGTTCTTCCTTGTGTTGAGCTGACACTTGTTGTGGTCCAGTTTATGACCATTGCTCCTCGTCCTGTCGATGGACACCGCTGGAAAGGGTCTGGCACCATCCTCCGGGCACCACCTTTGATATATTAATATGCATTAATACATACATTATACATATATATAATATATACATGCCCACACACCAGCCAATATTATTATTAGGAAAAAAAATAGGCAAGTTCCCAGATTCTCTTCAAAGTGATGTTGTGAGTGAGCTTGTCTACATTTGTTTCAGGTGTGACCTATCAGGAGCACACCTCTTCTCAGGTGACCCTCATCATCACTCTCTGCCAGTAGCTTACTATCTTTAGTGCTGCAAAGGAAATAGGAAGCAGCTGGAATTAACAGGTCTGAATTTATACACCCACTGCAGAGACCTCCAGAAGCTGGGATTTATTAGAGCTCAAAGGTGGGTGGCCATGCTCTGGTTAGTTGCGGTAAGTGATCGCAGCAATGCCTTACTTCTCCCTTTTCCTGACCTTGGGGAACTGAGCTGTTGAGAGTAAGACTTTATGTAGATGCCTTTTTGTCTTCTCAAGTTTCATAATGAAGGGTCTTCGTTATAACTAACACCTTAGGAAAGCGGAGCCTTACACAAACTGGACGATGCTTTTGAACCTCTGTAGGTACCTTTGACCCTATGGTGGTCCTCACCAGTGGGGGGGAGGAGGAGGACTAAGGAAGGAAATGATGTGAAGTTCTCTCAATAACTGATGTTCTTGCGGTTCAGTGTATGGCATTTCTTACACTGTAAGGGTAAGATGGCACATACAGAGTGCTGCAGGACACCACAGACTCCTGTAAATATACACAAACTTATTTCTGAGTGCCTGGGGGGATGCATTCGCTGGTTGCTGATACAGGATGTGCAGGGTAGTGCACAACACCGTTGTAATGTTTCTGTGCTAAATTCCAGTTAGACCTCAGCATTCACATTTACTTCATTATTTCTGAGTCTTGCTCTGGCAGTAACCATTCTGCCTGCGATGTTTCACATTTGCTAAGGTATCTCTTCCTTTTCTTCTTTTTCTCCTGTTATTTGATAGCCAATTAAGCTTATTTTAACAGTGTGGTTTAGTTTTCATTTGGGGAAACTAACTAAAGTAGGATGGACACAGGTTCCTGCTCTTCAAAGCAACCTAGGGCATCTTTTTCACACAGCACAGCTGTTTGAGGCAAAGTCATTGTTTCTGTAGTGAAAATACGGGGTTAATGGTGCAGCTGTCCTGATAGGCTTCCAGGTAAGCGTATTTTTAACATTCACTCCAATAAATTCCTATGAATAGCTAAACAGCTCAAGGTGGCTTTAAAGCAGTGTGAAGAGTCATTTCTGCTGTGAAACTGCCTTCTGAATATGAATGTTTCCTTCGGGACTTCAAGTGGAAGCCTTCAGCCTGCTTTCCCCTCCGACTCCCTATGTACAAAGGCTGTTTTAATTCAACTTTAATGCTGTTTTCTGCCTTTGTTTAGAGCTAACTGCTGTAGTTTTACATGGTATGGTTTTACTGCTACTGTTGAGCTTCCTCTGCACCATTGAACACCGCACCAGTGCTTAGCCACCGCTTTATGGGCAGTTGAACCATGTAGCACATCTCCACTAGCTGTGCATTAGCACCAGCCCTGGGATTCATTACATGGTTCAGCAGTACAGAAACCTATTGCACTGTGCCCCAGCAGAGTTCACCTCGGGCTGAATTCTGCTTCATCCTTTACTCTTGGTATGGATGCAAAATACCCACTGTCTTGCAGGAGGCATGGTTACACAGGGCAGCTCATCTTTGTATGCTTGAAATAAACCCAGTTAGTCAAAAGTGCTGAACTGACACCAAACCACAGTCCTCCATCCACCCCGTGAAGGTGAAGATACACCCAAAGGTGTTTGATGGGCTGGTGTCATTCCCATCCCAGACTGGTTTAGGAGAGGAGGGGGAAAAAAATAAAGGGGCGAAAAAATAAGGGAAAGAAAGAAAAAATAAGAAAAAAATCATGTTCTCTTGATCACTTGCCCCCACACGCGCTTCAGCGGAGCTTCCAGCAGTGATTGCTGACCTGGGAGATGGCATTAGTCATGTAGATAGCCATTAGAAACACAAGAACCGTCTGGTTCCTTTCTCCTTGCAGAGCAAACGGCTATCTGCCAAGGTGGGCTGAAGTTAGATGGAGTATTTCAAGATAAAAGGCTTGTTTTCTTTCTGCAGTTTCTCTCAGCCACCCAAAATAACTGCATCTGTGTATTTTCTTTCCCTGCTGTTGCTAAGTATAGCTTTAGGAGGGGTCCCCCTTTTAGTCCTCTTTTCCATCAGTTTGTCCTTTGTGCCTTCTCCTTCACATTTCCATTTAATTCCAGCTCAGTTCACTGTGCGCCTCTGAGTAAAACAATGAGATAGCTGTGTAGTCAAATCTACAAGATTAAGCTTGGTCTGCGGAGTGCATTTTAGGGGGCATTTAATGTATTTCTTGAAGAACGGCTGGGATTTTCAGAGCGAGCTGCCTCTAAAAGGAGGAGGGGGGGAGGAAAGGTGTAATTCTGAATGACAGCGATTTTCTCATAGGCTTTTACCCTGAATAAAGAGGAGTTTTCTCAACTGAGACAACTTTTCAGTCCAGGCCTTAAAGGTGGCTTTATGGATCCCCACCTGTGAAAACGCGGTCTAACACATCAGATTGAGTTACTTTCTTCCAATGGGACACTTTGAAACGTGCAGAAGCCCCTTTGGGTTGTTGAGGCTGAACCTGCTCGCCCTGAGGCTCCGTTGTACCCTGCTGTTGAGCACCTCTTCCCCTGCTAGGAAGTGCTTAACGGAGAGAGCTGTGAGACAGCAGCAACATCCCCAGCCAACCCCACTCCTTGGGGTGACTACAAGCTGCGTGATGTCAGATTTCCCAAGAAACTTGCAGAGAAGAGAATTCTTTCTGCAAGCAGAGGAGCGCCAGTTTACGACTTGGAAATGCATGTATTGATGTCTGATTTCTCGCTGCTCAAACATACTTCAGGGCTTCGTTTAGCCTGGGCTCAACTGCAGGGTGTTTATATAGGCTACTGGCTGTTTACATTAGGTCAATACACAGGATGGGCTGTTTATACCAGACCAGCAACAAATTCCACAGCGCAGCCTGTGTCTACCACTGCTCCGTTTTGCTACTTGCAGAGCTGGAAAGGAATAAGGATTTGGCTCTGGAAATAAACAGGCAACAAACCCTCCTATGTTATGGAATATTCCTTCTTGCCTGAGAAGTGACCAGCACCGTGAGTTCTTAATGGGCTGTTCAAACACCTACAGCATGGAGAATTAGCCCAACACACCATAAATGGCACACGATGGGGAAGAGCTGAGAAGGAAGCCAACAGCCCGAGCTGATGTTTGTCTCCATCTGCAGGGGACACAGAAGACCCATTTGTAGGCACTTGTTTTCCTGCACACACAGGTTTGCAGCGTGCTTCACTCACCCTGTCACCGGTTCCAGCTCCACAAATGCCAAGACTCGACTCCTATGTTTAATCCAAGCGTTGCTCATGGAAGACTTCACGGGTTACTCTGACAGAGCCTCCTGCCCTGGATGGATAATGCTATTTGTGTCCTTCCCAGCACTGATAAACACTTGCAGTGCTACTGAAACGGTTCTTGGCCTCAGACCAGTGCGTTCCTTGTAGGGCTGCGGGAGATGCTGGGTTTCTGCCTGCTGCTTTCAGCAACCCCCCGCTGATCTGACCTGCCAGGGTCCATCCCTGTGGGATTCATCCCAAAACAAAGGATGCCTTGGGACCAGGCCCCTCCCTGACCACCATGCTGTTCCTCCCTTGTTCTGCGCTTTCCCAGGAGGAGTGCTGCCAGTTGGAGGGAGAATAAGAGAGAAAGCCTTATCCTGCTGGTCCCAGCAAGCCCATCAAGAAAGGTGCTACCTGTCCTGATGCTGCTGGGGACCTTAGCCTTGTGCTGGATGAGCATGGAGCCCAGGAGGTCGGAAATAGCTCGTTGTTTCTGGAAAATGCAAGTTTGATGCCCGACCCTTCTGATCCCTGCTTTTTTTTGCACACCTCAGCAGTTTTGTTTGCATCTGACGCTTAGCTCCCAATGCATTTTGACTTTCTCTCCATTCTGGGCCCGCAGCTGCCTGTGTGCTTTCCCTAGGGAGTGGTGCAGTGAGAAAGGACATAAGGTTGAGCAATACCAGTCCAAAAGGGGATTATTTCACCTACCGCTAGTCAGCTAAGCGAGCTGAAGCCAGTCAGCTCCGCACCCTTAACAAGTGTTGAAGAGAAGAGGCATCTCTTGAAGGTGGTTCTTTCACCTAGGCACAGAAATGGGGCAAAAAGCATCTGAGCAGTGTCCCGTCCCATCTACAGACCACTGATTACAGAGGAGGCCTGGATGAGCAGCTTGCCTTAGATACCTGACTTGCCAGTGACTGAGGCGGAGGCAGAGGAATCCCCTGTTCCAGTCCTTTGTGAGTGCCTGCGTGCACCGGTCTCACTGGGGCTATGAAGTAAGTCAGCAGCAAATCAGTTCTGTGAGGATCCGTGCAGAGTTTGCCTGTCTTCCTTACTCATAAACACCACCAACTACTTCACATGCCAAATCCTGCCACCACGGGACTGTCACCTGGAGCATCCCCGGCCCAGCTCCCACGTCTGATGGAACTAATTCCCCTCTGTCTCCTGTCTGGTTGGTTTTTACTTTCAGCTGTGCTTTTCTATAGCTGCGTCGTGCAGGATCAAGCGTGAGTTATAATGTTAACAGTAGATTTTATTGGTAAGTAAATCATTTCAGGAGGATGCGACCGGTTAGCAGAGCTTACTGCTTCCATCAGGAACAGTACGATATATAGTACGGATGGCTATATATATACACACTTCCCCTCAAGCCAGGAGGTGATTTAGTGAGCTGCCTCCTCGAAGGGTTGGCTTACACTACATTCCAAAGGGGGAATTATTGCCATCAGGGTGAATTTAATGCAATATCAAGGTTTTGACCAGGTTTTACGGCTCAAGTGCAACCTTTCTCCAACACCCTGTCGTTACAGTGCTGGGTCACAAGGCACTTCATTTGGCAGGGCTCTCAAGTGCAGTATTCCTTTCTTCTACCTGCTTTTCTCCCTAGCAGCCTGAAAAGTCACCCTCTTGTGTTGCTGTAAACCTTCCCATTAAATGGGAAAAGCAAATCGCTCATGGCATGGGCAATGCTGGACGCATTCCTGACAGCTGCACAAGAAGGAACTGAAGCTCGCGAAGAAACAGAAGCTCTTGTGTGTCGGCAGCATTCACTAAACTGCCTCCCTTTAACAGCTAACTGACATGATTTCCCCACTTTCTGTTCCTTTGCAGATGCCTCTCCCTCGGCAGCCGGCCTCGTCCCAGCCCAGTCAGGAATACAAACCTCCGGATGCTCCCGGCTGGCTGGAGGGTCGGGAGGCTGAGTCTGGATAGCCAGAGGATGCAGCACCCTGCCGGGAGCAGCGGCCGCTCAGGGAAGCCTCTGTGAGTACAAAGATGCGGTGTGGTCTTCTTTAAAAAGCTTTTCTCTGCCTTTGGATCGTGGGCATGGGTGCACTCCACGGGAGTCTGCTCCCGGCGCTGCTCCGCAGGCTCCCTTTGCTCCTGTTTCATGCTAAGGAAAACAAGCTGCAGGGTACGTGGCAGCTGTGTGGGTCAGCTCTGGGGAGGTGAAGAGCGTGCATCCAGGCACATCAGTACGTGCCGGAGGGATGAAGGTGGCTCTACCTTTCTTTCCCTCTCTGCTAAACCAGCCCTGCTCAGCCCAGGCATAGGCAGGCTCATACACTGGGAAGGGAAAGGAGCCTCTGAGGATGATGAGGACAGACTTTTCAGCAGGGCCTGTCGCGATAGGACGAGGGGTGATGGCTTTGAATGAAAGGAAGAGAGGTTCAGGCCGGATGAGTGGGAAAAAATCCTTTGCCATGAGGGTGGTGAAACACTGGCACAGGCTGCCCAGAGAGGTGCTGGATGCCCCATCCCTGGAGGCGTTGCAGGCCAGGCTGGACGTGGCTCTGGGCAACCTGATCTAGGTGAAGATGTCCCTGCTCGTTGCAGGGGGTTGGCACTGGATGAGCTTTGAAGGTCCTTTCCAACCCAAAGCAGTCTGTGATTCTGTTCTGTGATTCTATGGTGTTGCTGTGCACTTGCCAGCACTGCATTTGCCCCAGGGCTGCATCCTTTTCTGAGCCCCCCCCTGATTCCAGGAGGGAAGAAACGTGCCCTTTGCAACTTACCGTACCTATAGCTGGTGTGGAGCAGCAGAGGCACGCCTGAAACCAGAAGAATAAAGATCCCACTCCAGTATTTAAGCCTCAAGTTGCAGCCCTGGTGCCTTTTGTTCATGGTATTTCAGGGGCTCTCTCCTGTGCTGGGCAGGATTGCTCACACGCTGCCCTGCCAGATGGGTGTAAATCTGTAGTAACTCAGGGTTTGGAGCGCTGTCAGCTGAAGCAGAAGTTTGCCCTTAGTAAAAGCACTGCTGTTTGACAGGGCTCTGTGCTTGTTTAACGTAACAACCGCGCCGGTTTTCTAACAACAACTTTAAATGCCATTCATCAATAAATCCATTGGGCTGCTTGGCTTGTATTACATGCCACTGATTAACTACCATTAAATTAGCAGTTAGTGTAATCAGATATAAACATGCCGTTGTGGCTAAGCTGTTAAGCATTTTTTTCCCCTTTTACAATTGAGTGTAACACATGTCGGCACGAGACGGGCTCAGTAATTTCACATTACTGCAGCTAAATTATGTTTGTGGGCTCCAGGAACGCTTCTGGTGCTACCAGGCTCGTAAACACCTACCTGGCAAGGAAAAGCTACAGCTTCTGCCCCAGAGCGTTCGGGGTTTAACAGCATTCAGTGCAGTGGAGTTACTCCATAAATATGTGCGTGGGCTGCGGACAAGAGGTTGATAGGAGGAGCTGAGAATGGGATTTGCTATTTGCCACTGATTTTCACCCTGCCTCCCGTTATTGATTGGTGTAAACCAGCATCCAAGTCCTACAGGAAAGGTACCTACCTAGGTGTTGGCACTTCAGAAGGAGAGGGATGTGACTCTGTGTGGGTTTCAGCTTTGGGAACCCTGGGCTGTCGTAGTCGGAAGCGGATTTCGATTTCTCAAAAGGAGACATTTCGTAGCTACTGATCTATAGAGCAGAATCAACTGCGTTTATTTCATAGGCAGCTCTGCATCTTCTCCATTGCTAGGCATTTTTGTAACTCAGGAAGGCAGAAAGGAAATACACAGCTGCAGGAGTACTCCTGAACCGCTTCCTTAGACAATACAGAGCACAGTGAAATTGCTATCAGTGCCAATAGCACAAAAAGCTATCAACCAGCAGAACTGTTCCCATCATAGCCTTGTGTGCCTTCGCCTCGCAAGAAAACAGCAGGAGCTGGCAGCACACCCAGAAGATCAATCAATCAGAAACACAAGATGGGGGAAGAAATGAATAAGAATGCGAAAGCTTTGTGGATATAGAAGCTTCTTTGTTTAACAAGTGGTTAAGGAGCTGGGGGAAGAGCTTTCTCCTTGGTCAAAACGTAGCTTTTTACTCAAAAGGTTCTTAATATACAGATTGTTTTTGAGCCTGTTTCATTCTTACGCTGTTTCCCTATTCGAAGTACGCTAAAATGGCACTTAAGGATGTGGTTTAGTGGTGAACTTGGCAGTGGTAGGTTTACAGTTAGACTCGATGATTTTAAAGGTCTTTTCCAACCTAAATGGTTCTGTGTTTGTAAGACGGATGAACTTCTCTTCAGACAAAATAAAAGCAAGCTGTGGAACAGAGCTTTTTCAGCGTTCTGGTGGTGGGTTTTCTTTGGGGGGGTGGTTTTTTTGGTCTGTGTTAAAATAGATGGTGCTTTATCATTTAGACATCACTGTCTTGGCTTTTAGATGCTGATATGCTTTAGAGTATACTTGCACACAGTTAGAGGTGAACGTTTGCACCAGTGCATACAGGTCTAAGGAGCTTGTGAGCTGGAAATTTCACTTCTAGATGTGCTGCTTGAAAAAGTCCGCCTCGTCTCTTTAAAGGAGCATTGAATTCAGGTTGCTGGGAGCGTTTTAATGGTAAGTTATTCTTCATTTTAGCTGTGCTGTGTGGATCGTTGCGCTCCGCTAAGGCGCTGTCACTGGCCCTCGTGGAAGCCTGCGGTTCCTCCGGCTACGTTCAGGTGGCTTTCCCGAGCTGTCAGCCTTGAAAGGGGCAAGCGCGAGGGTTCGGTGTTGCCTTACATTACAGCTGACAGCTTGGGAAACTTACAATACAAATTACTTGGGTTTCCAAAGCCTCGCATTAGGCCACCCTTCAAACGGGTTCTCCCGCGCTCTGCCTATGAGAAAGAGGAATTCCTATGGCTGCTCTCGATATTTTCTTCGGGGGTGTAAACCTGCAGAAACTGGATTAGTTTGTTGACTCCCTCAATTAACTTTAATCTAATATCCTGCCTGTTTAAATCAGTGTAAACATTGGTGTATAGGGTTAAGGGAAAGAGCTGAACTGAAAAAGATTTATTTAAGGATTAGTGTAGTAGCTAAATTAGAATTAAATCCAGGAAGTAAACATCCCAGCAATGCGAGTTGTGGGAAACAAGAGACCACAGCAAAGATCGGCGGTTTGAAACAATAATGTGCCACCATGGGAAGAGAAAGGAAGAAGGGGCGAAACAAGTAAATCAAGCATTACTGTACAAATAAGGCTCTAAGCCTATTACTGCCACACAGGTTGTGGGGAAACTCCTAATTAAATGCAATAGAGAGAGACTTTTATCCTTTTCATCTTACTGCTCTGTTTGCTCGGTTGGATTGTATTGCGGGCTGGAATACCCACAGCAATTAGAATAAAAGGATAGATTTGTGGAAGAATCCCTGAAGGTACACAAATTAACAGATTTGCTGGCACCAGATGTGCTGCAGCATCTAGTTAGAGCCTTCAGATGGGAAAACAAGCAACAGAACCCAGCTTCACACTCCGTTAGGCAGCGCTGGGGACCAGATTTGCCCAGGACGTAAATGCATGAGCGGTTTCTCAGCCTTAGCAGAGGTTTTCCCTCTGTTCCCTGCAGCAGTCGACAGGGGCTGTGTCTGGGATCCTGCCCTCGGTGCCCCCTGCAAGACAGCGTGCCGCAGCCCAGCACTAGGTCAGTGATTCTGACCTGGCATTGGACTTCCAGCGCAGAGCCCTGCATTCCCTGACAGCTTTAGGGCAACGGCAGGCTCCCTGCCCTGGCCTGAGGACCAGCCAGAGGTTTGTCCACTTGCGTCCGTCTGCTGTATCAACGTGAAGGGTTAAAACCTCAGCACACTCCTAAACGCAGCATCTTGGAGTCCAGGAGCCCTTTGAGTGCCGAAGGCTGAAGGCAGATATCTGTGCTCTCAGGCTACGGCAAGCTGCCTTCCAGATTTCGAGTAACAGTACTAAGCCTGGCTCTTGGTATTCGCTTAGTAACGCCTTGGCTAGAAACACGCCATTTACTGAATTATCACCCCCAGACCTGATTTTTTGATGGCAGTTTCCTTCCAGGTATCAATTGGATCAACTCCTCGTGAGTCGGTGACAAAAACCCGGACAAAAGTCTAGCCTGGGCTAATACGGCTCCAGGCCACTCTGGCTGATGAAGCTATAAATTAGATAAGGGCTTGTTCATGCAGTAAATATGTTTTCAACTGGTTTGCTTCCTGTACACCCTACAGCCTTAGCAAATGTCTGCTGATGTTTTACCATCACTCCTTACTGGCAGAAAACTTTGCCCATCGCCGTAGGAGCTGGGGCCTGGAGTTAAATGAGGCTTTTCCCATCAGGAGCCAATGCAGCAGCACTTCGCTGTGAGCATGTAAGAAGCCCTGTGAGGGCTTGGAGCCACAGGCACCCATCCGGGCAGAGCTGAGCGCCCACACAGGGTCATCTCCTCCAGCAGAACAAACACGTTGCTTCCCAGCCACGTTTGTACCCCTAAAAAGCTGAAATGATCCAGCCAGCTTGCTCCAAAGGAAGATGTCTGAATTCCAGCTCCCGTGAGCTGTTGTCTTGCAAAATCAGGCAGCTTAGTATTTGGTCTTTCTGACTAAAGCAGCAGTTAACAAGCTGGGCCTTGGCAGAAGGTTTTGGACTTAACCGTGATTGAAATACATCATGTGTGTGAATAGTATGGTTTGCATGAGCTGGCACCCTGCTTGGCAGAAGATGGAAAGAAATACTGGTCCAGGGGTCACTTGAACCCCTGCAGTGTGTCTTCTTCCCCTGCAGGGAGCAGGGAAGAGTGCAGCATCACTCTTCATGCATCGTCTCCTTGCTGGACAGGGAGGATAGAATCATAGAACAGTTTGGGTTGGGAAGGGACCTTAAAGCTCATCCAGTTCCAGCCCCCCAGTCTGTGTAGGAAGGGCAAAATCTGTCCAGAGAGCAACTTAGTGAAGTGCCACAGCATATGAGTAATTTAACTCTGTTTAATTCTGTTACCTTGGAGTCCTGAAG